AGCTGTAAGCAGAGAAAACATTGAGCAACACAGTAGTGACATCACCAAACTTCATCCCAAAATTCCCGAATAGGTAGCAGTATCTGAGATCTCACACTGCAGATATACAGCTATGAGGCAGTAGGCATGGAGGTGTCTAGCTACCACCACATGCCAGGAAGCGTACTGCTATTTTTCGGGTGTATTTGCAGACTAAGGGCCAATTCAAACCAGGAGCTGCATTACAACGCAGTATCTGGTGTGCAGTGACGTACGGCAGGTTCAATGCACTGTCGATAATCCCGATAATCTCGGGACATTGTTAAAACTTTTTCACTTAGGGGTGTACTCACTTTTTTTGCCAGTGGTTTAGACATTAATGGCTGTGTGTTGAGTTATTCTGAGGGGACAGCAAATTCATACTGTTATACAAGCTGTACACTCACTACTTTACATTGTAGCAAAATGTCATTTCTTCAGTGTTGTCACATGAAAAGATATAATAAAATATTTACAAAAATGTGAGGGGTGTACTCACGTCTGTGAGATACTGTATAAAGCCAGCCATACATGGCTCAATTTCCTCCCATTCAACCCATGGGGGGGTATAAGCCATGGCTGAACGACAGAAAATCAAACCAATTCTCCACTGCCGGCCATTCCTGGGGGACTGAAAGTGGAAGAAATTGCAATGTTTATTACCAGCTTTATAACTGAGTACACTGCCCAAACTAAGGATTGTATCACAGTGCTGTCAAAAATTTCCTCCAAACTGATAGGCTATATGGAAATACGGACTTATCCAAAAAATAGCAACCTGCACTGTGTGCGGATGAGAAAAATGAAGGCCATTAAATCCTTCTGTAGATGAAAAAGTGAAATAAAAGTCAACTAAGGGTCCATGCACTGTGGCTTAAAAAACTCTGCTCCTAGAGGAGTTTAGCGTTTTGTCTTTAGAAGCAACTAATGTGATCCTATGGGGTTTATTTACTAAAGCTGGAGAGTCCAAAATCAGACTCCCTTCTGCATAGAAACCAATCAGCTTCTAACCTCAGCTTGTTCAATGAAGCTTTGGCAATGAAACCTGGAAGCTGATTGGTTTCTATGCAGAAGGGAGTCTGATTTTGCACTCTCCAGCTTTAGTAAATAAACCCCTATGTGTCCATGCACATTAGGTTGTTTGGAGGCATATTTTAAGCTTAGTGTTTACAGGCAGGAAAAAAAAAAAAAAACCTTCGGTTTCACCTTTTTGAGACAGTTCTCTGGCAGAAAAAACAAAAATGCTAAAATGAGTGTAAACACTAGTACAAAAATTGCTCAAAATGAATGTTTTGCAGGGCGTTTCCATGTTGTGTGCACTGTGGGAGATCAGATATAGTGAATGCAGGATCCTGGGTTTAGTAACACTTTAACAGAGGGGGCATTTTGTATTAAAGGATAAAGTCACCTTTGAAACGTGTTAAATGTTCCAAAATATTCCGTTTTTAGGGTGGAAAATGTAACATGTTCCAGCTCCTTCATCTTCTCCCTGCAAAAGCAACACCCCCAGGGCGCACCCAGCCTTGCGCATTACCTTTGCGATAGCTTTATTAAAAGGATAAAACAAATGAATACACACATACAGCACAGATAATCCAACACATCAGTATCCACAGTGTCCTGAGGAAGAGGGGGATTCTCCCCTCAAAACACATCAGCTTTTGAGGGGAGTCTCCTCGTGGTTGGGACTCACTCAGTGGATCAGGTCAATTAGGACACTGTGCATACTGGTGTTCTTGTTTATCTATGCTGTTTGTGATAGCTTTATTAAAAGGTCACATCAAATGTATACTCACAAAAGGTAATGCACAAGGCTGGTGCGCCCTCTGTTTTTGCATTTCTAGTGTGACTTCTGGGCTTCCCCAGTCCTTAGAGGGCTGCAAAGCATTGACAATAGTGGAGTAGCTGAACAGTTGTAATCCTTCATTGCAGGTGAATTCTCATGAGTGCAGTTTGTGTTCTTTTGGCCTGCACCTAATCCCCCTGACCCCCCTCCTTGTGACAGCAGGCAGGGGATCCTTTCCCCACACCCACTGTCACAACTTAAAAACAGTGCAGCTGTTCAGGGCTCTGCCCACACAGTCACCTCATTATTTTATTTTTATTTCAGGTACTTATATAGCGCCGTCAATTTACGCAGCATTTTACATATATATTGTACATTCATATTAGTCCCTAACCCTAAAGGGGCGTACAATCTAAGGTCCCTAACTTACATTCATACTAGGGCCAATCTAGACAGGATCTAATTAACCTACCAGCATATCTTTAGAGTGTGGGAGGAAACCAGAGTACCCGGAAGAAACCCATGCAGACACAGGGAGAGCATGCAAACTCCAGGCAGGTGGTGCCATGGTTGGGATTGGAACCAACGATACTAGTACTGCCAGGTGGAAGTGCTAACCATTTAGCCACTGTGCTGCCCATTCAATACTCTGTGAATGAATGAATTACAAGTAATGTCAGCAGCTGGAGCTGGTGGCACGTACTGCTCATTGAACTGCAAGGGCGCTGGTGAGAGTTCTTGTGGTTGATTGATTTTACCTCCAATTCAGAAACTGCTTGCCTGCAGGGTAGGTATGAACAGACAGATGATGGAGTGTCTGCAGGATCCCAACATTGCACCCACAGGTGCAATCCTCTCTAGATTGCAGAGTAAAAAATGAAATAAATGCACTTTTTTTTGTCTGCAAAAAGATGTGCATTTATTATATATATATATATATATATATATATATATATATATATATATATATATATATATATATATATATATATATATATACACACACACACTTTTTTTTTTTTTTTTTTTATACAAAATGTGAACCTATCCCTTAATGTTTTAGCAAAACTAGACCCTTAAGACATTGGGAGAGTTTGCATACAGTCAAACAACTGAAGACACTTACTTGGCCCCTTCTCTGAAACATGGAAATCACAACTTCCTGCAGTCCTGGGGTCGATCTTAAACTCTGCAGTTTCTCTAATTCGAACACCTTTGTGCTGCAAGCCACATCAGCGAGCTCGACAAGCGTTTGGGTTGCAGGCTGTTGATAGAGAAAGAGATAGGAACACTCGCTCAGATATTTAAATACAGAAAATACTATCTGCACAATCGTAACACATTTGCCATGCCTCAGACAGGTCGGTGCAGGCAGTCGTGTTAGTTACGGTGGACAAAGCAGACCTCAGTGAACGTACGGCATTGTGACACACCACACACACATTATGAACAGACAGCTTCTGGGTGTTATGATGCAAACTACTTCACAGATGAAACTAAATGTAAGTTATGCTTTCTGAGAGACTGACTCACTAGGTAGTAAAGTAAAGTTGGATTTTGTTTTTTAATAATAAATGGATTCCCCTATCCACATATTCAAGGTAAAAGCTGCACTGCACTGCTGTGTTCTGACAATGAGACTCCTCCGCTGTCAGAATACACTGATCAGAGCTGCAGCCTATTGACTGCAGGTGCTGATTGAATTAAAATATTTCAACAGTCCCATTCCAGTGTCATCGATCATTGGACCGACTCCTCTCAAACAGGAATGACCATAGATGAATCAAAATTTGGCAGGTCTCTGCTCAACTGGCCAAATTTTGTTCCATCTATGGACAGCCTAAGGCACAGTCAGTTAGACATAGACACTGTGGAAATGAAAAAAAATAAAAAAATTGAAAAAAAAAAAAAATTGCGAAAGAACACACAGATTTTAGGAGGGCACGGTTTAGGTGAAGCGCCTCTGCAGGCCACCAAAGCCACCATCAAAAGTCACAGCGCTGGAGCTTAAAAAGCAGGAGCGTATAAACCTTTTGTATCTCAGCCCCAAGCAAGGCTGCAGATTGCAGAACCTGGGACATAATGGACCACCTGACAGAGTGAACTTTCCTGTTTATGAATTATCATTACAAAACTGTAAAATAATTAAAACGTAATAGTTTTATAAGCAGCATACAATTTGCCATTAAACATGCTTTCATAAATGGAAAATATACTACAGCAGCTATAGAAAAAATGATGGACAAAGCCTCACTAAAGTCACACCATAAGGATCAATTAAAGAAGTTGGCTTCTCACACTGTCCCCGCCCCTCTATGGGTCATGGCTTAAGGACTGTGTTGGAAGACAATACGTTTCAAGAAATATTATGGCATGAGTGTGGCTTTGTCCTTTTCTTCTTATCGGCGTTTCAAATGCTAGTAAATGCGGCTAACCGTGTTTACAATTTTATTTTAACTCTTCCATTTCCAGATGCTGTCCAGATCTGTTTCATCATACAAAATGCATGCAAAGCGTTTTCCCAGTACTCAAATGGACCTGGTACACCATACTTTGAGGTTTCGCATGAAAGAAAATATGTTAGACACTGCTGCAATAATTTCTGCACAGAAATGAGCTGGAACACATCCAAACACCACAAAAAAAAAAAAAAAAAAAGACAGCTAATCTCAACAAATACTGCTCTTTCTGCTTCTGCTCTCTATTTCTCTCAAAATGTCCGAAATAGTTAATTTTTTTACTATTTTTCAGTGCATTCAGGGCATTTTAGAAGGTCTCCTGAGATTATCTTTAAAAAACGCTTCTAAACCCAAACGCTCATAAACACGGTATGCAAATGCCGCTAAACAGACATTTTTTAACCTATGTTTTCCAGCAGTTTCCATCATTCAAAAGTGTCCCGTGTACATGGAGCCTAAGAGGGCACTTTTTTCAGTCATTAGGGCAGAAAAGGAAGAGGATCTCCCCAGTGGAAGACAAATGGCAAAAACCTTGATGGGGTTTTAGCTCTCCCTCTACTTTATCTAAAACAAAAAAAAAGGACATTCCTTAAGCTGTAGAAACACATACAATAAGGCTCATTTACACGAGAAATCAAAATACCATAAAAACCCCACAGATCAATGAGTCAGCGCTTCTCGAGCATGCGCAGTGGGCACCCGGCTGTCAGCCAGGTGCTCACACTAAAGGGAGGACAACTCCACGGAAGTGGGAGCAGGTACCTGTCAAATTCAGGTACCCGCTCCCCCTCCCTCCCCAAAGGTCCACAGTCTCTTGGTCATCCCCTGTACTGTGTCCGCAGTCTCTGGTCATCCCCCCTGTACTTTGTCCGCAGTCTCTGGTCATCCCCTGTACTGTGTCCGCAGTCTCTGGTCATCCCCTGTACTGTGTCCGCAGTCTCTGGTCATCCCCTGTACTGTGTCCGCAGTCTCTGGTCATCCCCTGTACTGTGTCCGCAGTCTCTGGTCATCCCCTGTACTGTGTCCGCAGTCTCTGGTCATCCCCTGTACTGTGCCCGCAGTCTCTGGTCATCCCCTGTACTGTGCCCGCAGTCTCTGGTCATCCCCTGTACTGTGCCCGCAGTCTCTGGTCATCCCCTGTACTGTGCCCGCAGTCTCTGGTCATCCCCTGTACTGTGCCCGCAGTCTCTGGTCATCCCCTGTACTGTGCCTGCAGTCTCTGGTCATCCCCTGTACTGTGCCCGCAGTCTCTGGTCATCCCCTGTACTGTGCCCGCAGTCTCTGGTCATCCCCTGTACTGTGTCCGCAGTCTCTGGTCATCTCCTGTACTGTGTCCACACAGTCTCTGGTCATCTCCTGTACTGTGTCCGCAGTCTCCGGTCATCTCCTGTAGTACCGCAGTCTCTGGTCATCTCCTGTACTGTGTCCGCAGTCTCTGGTCATCTCCTGTACTGTGTCCGCAGTCTCTGGTCATCTCCTGTACTGTGTCCGCAGTCTCCGGTCATCTCCTGTAGTACATCCGCAGTCTCTGGTCATCTCCTGTACTGTGTCCGCAGTCTCTGGTATCTCCTGTACTGTGTCCGCAGTCTCCGGTCATCTCCTGTAGTACATCCGCAGTCTCTGGTCATCTCCTGTACTGTGTCCGCAGTCTCTGGTAATCTCCTGTACTATGTCTGCAGTGTCTCCTGTACTATGTCTGCAGGTCATCTCCTGTACTGTGCCCGTCTCTGGTCAGTCTCTCCGGTCATCTCCTGTAGTACATCCGCAGTCTCTGGTCATCTCCTGTACTGTGTCCGCAGTCTCTGGTCATCTCCTGTACTATGTCCGCAGTCTCTGGTCATCTCCTGTACTATGTCTGCAGTCCTCTGGTAATCTCCTGTACTATGTCTGCAGTCTCTGGTCATCTCCTGTACTGTGTCTGCAGTCTCTGGTCATCTCCTGTACTGTGTCTGCAGTCTCTGGTCATCTCCTGTACTGTGTCTGCAGTCTCTGGTCATCTCCTGTACTGTGTCTGCAGTCCATTGGTTCAGAATATTTTTTTTTCTTGTTTTCCTCCTCTAAAACCTAGGTGCGTCTTATGGTCAGGTGCGTCTTATGGAGGGAAAATATACGGTATATCCTGAACATGGAGAAAGACATGTACTACCCAGTCATCCAGTGTTATCGAGACATTTAACCCCGTTCCCTTGAGAATGATACAATTCTACTCTGCAGAAATGAATGATCTCATGGCTTGGATTCATCATTCAAGTCCCTGGCTCTGTAGACAGAGAGAGCAATGACAGAACCCCAACTAGAATTTCTACTAAATCCTTCCTCAGTATTGGATACCTGGAAGGAGGCAACCCATCTATGGATATAATTCACCTATGGGCTCTTGGAAAGAGATGGCTCACCTATGTATTCAACCCATCTTTGAACACCTGGAAGGGGAGGAGTTGCCTACGTGCCTTGAGAAGGAGAAGAGGCACCTACGGGCACCTGGAAGGAGAACATCTAGCTACAGATATAGCTACGGACGCCTGGAAGGAGAAGACCCAGCTACGGACGGAAGGAGACCCAGCTGGAAGGAGAAGACCCAGCTACGGACGCCTGGAAGGAGAAGACCCAGCTACGGACGCCTGGAAGGAGAAGACCCAGCTACGGACGCCTGGAAGGAGAAGACCCAGCTACGGACGCCTGGAAGGAGAAGACCCACCTATGGGAACCTATATCAAAACAAAATTTAAAAAAAAAAAAGACATTAGAAAGGATTTAGAAAACACAACAAGGCTCATTAACACAGGAAATCAAAATACCAATAAACCCTGACAGATCAATGAGTCAGAAATGTTGCATTTCACACATTCGCACCATTGGGGGATAAATGATCCAGGATTATGTCCTGAACATTGAGAAAGACATGCACTACCCGTTCACCCGGTGTTATTGAGACCCCTTCCCATGAGACTGATGCAATTCTACTCTCCAAGAGTGAATGATCTCAGGGCTTGGATTCACGCTTCAAGTCCCTGACTCTGTAGACGGTGACAGCAATGACAGAAACCCAACTAGACGTCCTACTAAATCCTTCCTCAGTACTGGACACCTGGAATGAAGCGACCCACCTATGGTCATAATTCATCCATGGGCTACTGAAAAGTGATGGTTCACCTATGAACACAACCCATTTTTGTACACCTGGAAGAAGACTCGCCTATGGACACCTGGATGGAGAAGACCCACCTACTGGCCCTTGAAGGAGACAACCCGCCTACTGGCCCCTTGAAGGAGACAACCCACCTATGGGTCCCTTGAAGGAAACAACCCACCTACGGGCACCTGGAAGAAGACCTACCTATATAAACTTGGAAGGGGGAGACCCACCTACGGACACCTGGCAGAAGACCCACCTACTGGCACCTAGCATAAGAAGACCCACTTACGGGCACCTACCACGAGAAGACCCACCTACGGGCACCTGGAAGGAGAAGACCCACCTACGGGCACCTGGAAGGAGAAGACCCACCTACGGGCACCTGGAAGGAAAAGACCCACCTACGGGCACCTGGAAGGAAAAGACCCACCTACGGGCACCTGGGGCACCTGGAAGGAAAAGACCCACCTACGGGCACCTGGAAGGAAAAGACCCACCTACGGGCACCTGGAAGGAAAAGACCCACCTACGGGCACCTGGAAGGAAAAGACCCACCTACGGGCACCTGGAAGGAGAAGACCCACCTACTGGCATCTAGCACGAGAAGACCCACCTACAGGCACCTGGAAGGAGAAGACCCACCTACGGGCACCTTGAAGGAGAAGACCCACCTATAGGCACCAGCTTGATGTTCTCCTTTTCCAGGACCTCAGAGACACTGTCCAGCTGCATGTGGCTGAAGGTAGGTCTCTGGTGGTGTTCTCTGTACATCCTCTTCTGGCTCAGCACCTCCAGCAGGGCGATCAGTCGGAGTCCATCGCTCAGTTCGGTCTGCAGGTTTCCGATCCTCCTGTTCACACATTTCTTGTTACACCAGCGGGTTACGGTGTTCTGCTGGATCTTCTTCCATGGCGCGTCCTCCTCCAGGTCCTTCCCGGTCACCGGCATCGTACGGGAGATAACAGAGCACATAGCCGCCTTCTTTCCGTTCGTGTAATAACAATGGCGCAGTCCTTGGATCAACTACTATGGCGCATGTGCGATCAGACTCCGCCTCCTCCAGGATCTCCTACCGAGTCGGATCCATTGCTGGGTGAGTGGCGCCATCTGCTGGGCGCTGGATTCCACAGCGGCTACTGACAGCCGGAGACATCTCCACAGCGGCAGCTCTACCTCTCTGCATCGCTCCTCTAAAAAACATTTCCTATTAATAATAATAAACAATGTCATTGAGTTTGGTGAAACTTTCTGATTGCATTTGTTGATTTAAAACCTCATCAGAGCCTGAGATAGAAATCAATGTACACTGCTCCAAAAAATGAAAGGAACACAGAAAACCCATCAGATCTCAATGGGGAAACATATCATGCTGGATCTCTATACTGACAGGGAAGGGGTCATGTGTTAGGAATGTAAGGATGCCCCATCGTTTGATGGAAATGAAAATGATCAACCTACAGAGGACTGAATTCAAAGACACCCCGAAAATCAAAGTGAAAAAATGATGCAGCAGGCTAGTCCATTTTGCTGAAATTTCATTGCAACAACTCAGAATGATCCTCAGTAGTTTGTATGGCCCCCACGTGCTTGTATGCATGCCTGACAACGTCGGGACATACTCCTAATGAGACGAGAGTTGGTGTCCTGGGGTATTTCCTCCCAGATCTGGACCAGGACATCACTGAGCTCCTGGACAGTCTGAAGTGCAACCTGGCGACGTCCGATGGACTGAAACATAATATCCCAGAGGTGTTCTATTGGATGTAGGTCAGGCGAGCGTGGAGGCCATTCAATGGTATCAATTCCTTCATCCTCCAGGAACTGCCTGCATACTCTCACCACATGAGGCTGGGCATTATTGTGCACCACGAGGAACCCAGGACCTCCTGCACCAGCGTAGTGTCTGACAATGGGTCCAAGGAGTTCATCCCGATACCTAATGGCAGTCAAGGTGCCATTGTCTAGCCTGTAGAGGTCTGTGCGTTCCTCTATGGATATGCCTCCTCAGACCATCACTGACCCACCACCAAAACGGTCATGCTGAATGATGTTACAGGCAGCATAACTTTCTCCATGGCTTCTCCAGACCCTTTCACGTCTATCACATGTGCTCAGGGTGAACCTGCTTTCATCTGTGAAAAGCACAGGGCATTGGTGGTGGACCTGACAATTCTGCTGTTCAATGGCAAATGCCAATCAAGCTCTGTGGTGCTGGGCAGTGAGTACAGGAAATGTATATTATATAGGGCGCGCTTGTTGGAGCCCAACCTCTATAGCTGTAAGATAAAGGTGCCAGATGGATATCAGGGATGGATGGATGGAAGCAGTAACACTGAGGCAGCTCTTCTTAGAATGGAAGCAAGGCTCTAATGCAGTAACAAGAAAAAGAGAGGAAGGCGCCTCTAAGTGCAGTATTGACAATTTATTCAGTAAACAATGGAAAATTTGCACTTACAAGATAAATGGTTAAAAAGACTCATCGTGTGGTAATTAGATCCAGGCTATTTGGCCGTATTTCCCATGTGGATCACAGGAGTGCAGTTCGTTCTTCACTCCTGTGACCCATTTTCAGCCGACAGCAGACTGAAGCTGGTTCAGTCTGGGGATAGATCCTGACTTTAAAGTCGGGATCCACCCCCCCAGAGTCTGGAGCAGAACCTGACTCAGCCTCTCAGTGATATGCTGAGAGCTTGAGCCAGCCGCTCCCTCCCCTTCTACAGCACGGCAGTCGTGGGGGGTTGACAGTGGTGACTGACAATCACGACTCTCTGCTAAGAGCGGCTGTAAGAATTTAGCGATTAGTGGTCATGTGATTACTGAGTTCTCACACTCAGAGCTGACGGGGACAGATGCAGCATCAGACCAATCCGCCTAGGTAAGTATGATTTAAAAATTAAATAAATACTATATTTCTATTTTAAGGAAATCCTGCTAATAATGACTATATCTACAATTCATGATACATTAGTGTGATGGTCAGTAGGAAGAATGCTTCTTACACTTGTGGTCACTGGGGGGAATCCAGTCCTTCACCTCTATAAAGAAAGCTAAAAAGATCAATGGTGTCAGAGGGAACCTATCTTAGAGGTAGACATTGCTCATTGTTCAAGGAACCCCTACCAACCTCTGTAGGAACCCTGGTCTGGAAACCCTGTTTTACAGAGCAGTCTAATAGGAAGGAAACCAGATGGAAGATGATGCCTTCTACAGATGAAGAGAAGCTCCAAGAACACCTCAGTATGAAAAGAGGAGATCTTGTTCTAAATGTACTTTATAAAAAAGGAAATAGGGGTCAGTTAATGTCTTTATAATTTTACAAACATGTAATCAGTTCATAGTTAGAATTCAGGCACAACAATTTGAGGTTCACAGCTTTGTGAGGGGGCAGCTTGCATGTTGTGCTTGCAGAACTCCAGTTTGAATGTTAATACCCATCACATTTGAAGAAAAAGGGGTCTTCAGTTCTGTCCAATCTAGTGCCATCGCAGGTCCTTGTTTTCTACTCTGGTGGTGGCTGTAGCTGTCCCTTACTCCTTCACTGAACATATCTCATG